AATAATGAAATTAACTTAAGTTTCACCTTCCTCAATCCAAAGAGGTAATTGCCACCATACAATCTCTGATAACACCACTCAACGAAAGTCATTTTATATTTCGAAACTAGAATCACTGCTATTGCCAAAATATCACTGAATTCAGACCAGTATTTTTCAAACTTTACAATCATTCATGCTACCATTCTCTTTATGGATTGATGCCAATTTAACATTTCATTTTTTTAGTTTCCATATACTATAGGAATATAGGGAAAGTACAAATTTGTTGTAGGGTATTTAGACATAAAAATTAGATAAGTAATTTCATAGAATGGTGCCAAAAATTTGCTAATCTCTTCAACTTTTTCCTATTCAGAAGATGTTGGATAATTCTTATAATTTGAATCCACCAATTCTAAATATTGAAAGCACACTTAACGATATGTGATGTGCAACGTACATGAAAAAAATCACCATCGCATAATAAGCCACCACGTAAATTCAAATGATTTATTAGATAATTAACTAAAGTATTATTTGCGGAAGCATTATCCATAGTAATACAAAATAGCTTGGTTCTTATTTTTTATTTAACCAAAAGAGACTGTATCTTCTCAAACAAAGTAATTCCATCATAGGGGGTGGCATGAATAAAAAAAAATTTCTTTTGCAACTGCCAATCATTTTCAATAAAATGAGCAGTTAAATAAATAAACCCATCAGTATTTATAGGAGTCCAGAGTTCTGATGTTAAGCAAATCCTGCTAGTGACTTTATATAATTATTCCTTTATATTACACTTCTTCTTAATGAATAATTTTTGGTAATCATTTGTAACAGTGTTTCTAGAAATTAATTACAAGTCCCGACGAATATACAATAAAAGTGCTCGGACTCCAACCCAATCAACACATTAAAAGAGAAAATCGTGCATAATGATAGAAGCAATGAACAAGTCACAAAATTTAGCATGTTCAAACTTATTATTAAACATAGACATCGAATATTCAATGTTGGTTTGTAAGATCAACTGTCATATATCATGCATACTTCTTTTCTTACAATTTTTTAGGTGGCATCTAAGATTACCAGTTCCATTTTTTGCTATCACATAAATAAGTACTGCCACATTTCTTATATTTACATTTTTAATTTTCATCTTTCATATTAGGTAACATCTCATAATGGCCCCAAACAACTGAGGACATCCTTCGTCATTTCTTAGTAACTGCATTATATAGCTCATTAGAGGGATATACAACATTTTCACATGTCCGGACTTCTTCATTTTCATCAAAAGAAAAATTCTTAAGAATGGTATTTGAATTCTCCATCTAACCAAAATATAAGAATATATTACAATGCTAATTCTAAACTATTTGTTAAATGTCTTATTTAAAAAAATACACATCGAGACCTTAACAGTCTCATTAAATTCTTCGTCAAATGCCAAAAAATAACTTCTCCAACAAAACAATTCAGACATAACATGTATAATTCAGAAAAAATATAAATACCAGCATAACTACCAGAAATAATAGCATAACAATTCAGTCATTAACTTATTGAGGGCTTTTATAGCACATGAATATAACAAAAATACTAACACTAATAACATCAACTCAGTATAACAGCATAACTGCCAAATGAATCCCCTATAAATATAGAAACACATTCGGAACACTCAGGTGTCAGCAACAATTCGCCCAGAACTCACAGAACCATCAACCAAGCATGGGTTGCTGAACAACAACTCAACAAACGGATAAATTAGAACAAAAAAAGAATATAAAAATCGCTCTCAAACCAGATTTAAATGAACATCAACTCATCAAGTATTCTGACAAAACAAACCCAAAGCAGAATGCATGCCAAGCCAGAAATGCATACCAAACTTTTCTAGATTTTAAAAAAACCCAACATAATATTCGAGATAACAACAAGCCAGCAAGACAACAACAAATTAGATAAACCCTAAAACTGAAAATTTCATATGGAACTTCGAAAAAATTTGATCAAACAACAAGTCAGCAAGATAAGCCTCTACTCTGCTCATAAATCAAGCTTCTAAAAGAAGAAAATAGAAAAAAGATAAGAGATATAACTATCGAGCGATGAAAGTATTTATGTTGAGCCAAACGAGATGTATATGATGAACACCACATACCAACAATATGCCAAGTGAGGGAACTGTTGACAGAGCCAGAGATCTAAGAAGATCCAAAGAGAAGAAACGAAAATGCCAGATGAAACAACGAAGGAGAGTAGAGGATGAAGCGGACGTGAATCGCTAGGAAGCAACTAGCCAGTCTAGCCCTACTTTAATCCCACTCGTTCGCGTCACCTGATCAAATGAAAATGCGCGGGTCAAAACGGGTTAGAACTCGGGCTATTGGGTTAACCCAGACTAGATCTGAAATTTAAAATGGTCATATTACTTAACCCGAACCTGACCCGTTTTGAAATCGGATTGGGTCAAACCCAAAATTTTCAGGTCTAGTTCGAATCAGATTTTCGTGTCGTGTCAAATATTGACACCCCTAATAATAGTCATGATTATAAGACATTTCATTTCACTTGCCACTTCTAAAGAATCATGACTACAAAAAATACAACGACAAGATTTACAAACCTAAACTAGCAACAAAAATAACCTCACTTCAGCAGCTCCTTGCTGTTCGTTCCTTGAAATCATATAAAAATTACATAATAAGACAAATGCTCAGTAGGTTATCAGATCTTACAACTATAGTCAATGAATAGAAATATCAATAATATGCATGTATTTATTCAATTCATATCAGTATAAATATGTAATAGTAAGAACATTTTAAAAATAATATGAACATTAATATAAATTGCTATATATGCATATAGTGTAACCTAGTAACCAATGATCAATAATCATATAAAGGATCAGTATAAATAATATCAATATATATATATATATATATAACATACCACAGCTTCGCGATGCTACATGCAGAAATCTTGGTTATTGTAGTAAAAGAACATATCGCTATCACGCTGTTATCCAGCGCTCGTAATGTCGTTGTGCTCATTAACACAACATCACAACACTCTAATGAATGTTTTTATTTTTATTTTTTAATTTTAATTTAATTCATTTTAAACTCTTTTATAAATTGTTGGGTTATTACAGCATAAGCCTCACAAGGAATAAAATTTTTATTCATGCAAGAATCGTAAAAACTCTAAGCCTAAAAAGATATAAGATTTATGCTCATCCAAACTCATAGAAGGCATAGGTCTAAAAAGTATAAGGTTTCTACTCGTCTAAATTTCTTAAAAGACATAGGCCCCATATGGTACTCAATCTTCATTGATCTAAAGATATCAAGTATACACATCGATTTACAAGTTTTGAGGGTATCGATGTTGGATAATATCCTTGTAAAAGTTTGTCCTACAACTAATCAAGTCTGGATATGTCATGTAGTTTCAAAGATATTGAAGGGTGTAGTCTTCTATAGAGGATATCTTCTAAAAAATTTTAGTCACTCTTACTTATTGATTGAGAATTCATCAATTATCACCTCACTTCAAATAATTTGATTACATAAATAAAAAAAGCTTGTATTGAAACATGAAATAAAAAATATTAATCTAAGGGCTAAATAAATAAAGTTTGATTTAAAAGTCACATAGCTATTGCTCGAACATGCATGATGTTAGCATATTTCTCATCACAATTACTAGAGAAAATTGTGGTTAACTCACTTTATTTATTAACCTCAACATTGAGGGAGGAGTCTTTAAATACTTGGTTGGAGTTAGACAATCCTTCAACATTTGCTTGAGTTTGGTAATGCATCAAATGAATAATTTTTAAGATGCCACAAATAAAACATTCTTCAAAATATTGATGCTTCTTGAACTTTATCTAAACTTCAAAAGTCTTTTCATAAGCTTCTTTTAATTTATTTGTTCATGGACCAAGCAATAAGGCACAAAAGATTTCTTAAAGTTTTCTGTAGCCTTCAAACTCTTGCCATAGCTTGGGCTTCCATGCAAACGATCTATTTCACTTGAAGTCTTTTACAACCTTCAAGGATTTAACTCCATTCCTAACTTTAAACTTTTGGGTTTTTTTTTTCTATATTAATTGGTATTACAATATCTTATTTACTACCAAGCAATTTTTCTTCAAGGCTCGTTGATTTCTTTGCTCTCAAAATATAAAAAAATATAATACCCAAAATATGCTTTATATATCATTTTAAACGTTATAGAAAAATATACAAAATTTAACCTTCAAATGTATAACATTCCTATTTTATGTATGTACCCCCATATCAATGAATAATATTTCATTATCTATCTTAATTTGACATGTAAAAATAAAATATAATTAAAATATATTTATGACATTACAAGTTAATTAAATAAGTCATATTCTAACTTTAAATTTTATACCAAAGCTCATGTAATACACATCTTTACTTTATTTGACAAACATATCATATTTTATTATGTAAAGATTAATTTGACCAAAAAAAATGAAATTGTTAGTTAGGGATGCATATTATTGGTTTTGAATGAAAAAAAATGAACCAAAGCAAATATATTTGATCACTTCGTTTCAATTTAAGAAATGATGATTTTGATATAGCTTTTCTTGATCTATTGGTTGAAAACTTTGATTATAAAAAAAGGTCTTATGTTCTAAGCTGACGTAGAATGTGTGAATTTATTTTAATTGACTGAAAAGTCCTAAAAAAAATACAATTTTGTTCTCTTTTACCTATTATTTGATTGAATTTAGTTTAATTTAGCAAATTTATCAACCAATCACCTTAAAAATATGTAAATATACTGTCTTATATATTTTCTTAAAAATAAATTGAGTAAAAACTAAGTGCCCAAATACAAATATTTGGTGGGGCCAATCCGTGCGGCTGTCCTTCTCATTATTTTTGGGAAAATTAACGCCACAATAAGCCTGAGTGTAATGTTACTGCTTTCTGCTACAATAGACCTTTAACTTTCTAATGCTTTTAGAAACGAGTTCTGTTCTTCCGTTCTGTGGAAGCCAAAGCTCCCAGTGGCAGCCTCCCATGCCTTTGGATGGGATGGGAAAAATTTCAAGTTGGCCAAGTTTTGGTCAAATCAGGATTAATTTGTTCAATAAATGATTTTTTTAATTCGTCGGAGAGAGGTTCCTGTTGACCTGGATTGCAGATGCAGAAGTCGTTGGTCCAAAAGCGCCATTTTCTTGTTCCAGCTTGGAGACTCCACACCGTCAATTCTTTTCCCCTCTTCTAGAATTTGATTTGTTGCTCATTTCTCATGATTAGAAGAGATTTGACGGCGTTGGAAGAGGAAACAAAGATCAAGACGCGGATATGGTGAGCCTTATTCTAGAAATTGGTTTCTTGCTCATATCCTACGGATTAGAAGAGATTTGAGGGTGTTGGAGGAGAGAGGGAGGACAAGAGAGCAAGACGTGGAGATGAATAGAAAGAGGATGAGGAATCTCTACGCCAAGGAGGCAGTGGAGTTCTTAAACCATGTAATCGAGGAGAAGCCGCTGCTGCCCTTCTTGATACCTTTAGGGTTTTTCGCATGGGCTATCGAACGTTGGCTAGTTCCCTTCTCCAATTGGATTCCTATGGCGTTTGCCGTCTGGGCTACTATTGAGGTGGGCTGGAATTTTGCTTTGAATGAAAAGTGGGTTCTTGCTTTTTATGAATTATGGATTTTTATGTTGCATTAGCCGACACCCTTTCCGCATCAATTAGGGATTTCTTATGCATTTTACAGTGGTTGATATTATTCTATTAGAGTATTCAGCTCATTTACTGTTTTTTTACCTCATTGAGCTTGTGATGATATAAATCGTATTTCTCATTAATCTTTTTCTGTTATTTTAGGTATCCTAGCTTGATTTGCTTGCAAATCTCCTTTATTTTCCTCTTGTCATCAAGTTTTCTTCTTAAATATAGGCTTTATTAGGAACCATACTATTTATAGTTCAGAAAGAGAGATTTACAAATTTAGGATGGCCGACGTGACCTAAATTGTCTCTTTTAATATCAGAATTGAATTCTGTGACTTTCATTTTAAAAAAAAATTGCTAGTCTTTTAAATAAATTATCTGAGCGTTCTTCAATTTTTTTAGGGCTTTGTTTGAGACCGCTTTCTTTCTGCTTCTTAAAGTAACTTTTTAGTACAAAAGTTTTTAATTTTGAAATTTTTTACATAAAAAGCAGCTTTAAGAAGTAGAAAGAAAGTCATCCCAAATGAAGCTTAGATGAGACATTATAACTTTAAACCAATATTTCAATTTGATGTATGCTGCAAATATGAATTTCAAGCTAACACCATGGTTTTTTCTCCTTTTCAATTATTGAGAAATGTTATAAGTTCCTTATTAATGGGCAAGTGGTGCTTGCAAGGACTTATGCAGGTAAGCCCTGCTTTTGAGAGAATATTAATATTCTCATAATATAAAGACACTTGATCTTTCTGGCACACTCCTAGTAATAGTTTCCGTTTATTATCCAAGCGAACCGACACATTCTCACTAACATTCTATGATTATCTAAGTGAAGCATGAAATATACAGTAAAGATAGTGCAAATATATATATATATATATACATTTATTTATTTTATAATTATTTAAAAATACAATTTTTTTTATGGATGTTTTACATCAAAATTAAAATTATGGTTATTTTAAAAATAAAGGTAGTAGCTTTGTATCTTATTTCAAATTAGAGAGAATAGTTACGTATTTATAGTTATTACACAATGAATTATGAGTCATACAATTAAGAAACAATTCAATATATAAATAAAGGTAGTAATAAAAGAAAACTTGAGCATGAATGTGGATTCTTGATTCTTGAGGTGCTCAATCATCATATGTTTAATATGATTAGTGCACACATATTATTGAGTTGGATAATCATTCTGTGGTTGATAATATCAACACTCCCTCTCAAGTTGGTGCGCAGACATCACACATGTTAAACATGTCTAAGAACTTTGAGAATTCTCGATTAGATACTCCTTTGGAATGAATATCAACTAAACGATTTTTTGATTAAATCTTTGGTAGTTTCACAACTTTCTTATCTTGTTTCTCCTCAACGTGCTTTGTATGGTCATGCTAAACTGTCTTATGGGTTATGTCACATGCTTCTTTGTTGTCACAATATAGTTGGATTGGTTTCTTTTGGAATAGCCTAAATTTTGTAAGAGAATTTTTAAACGCATCGCTTTGCAAATTCGTAAGTCCATTCTTATTCACTCAAGTTTTGCAAGATCTTGCAAGAACATTATGTTTCTTGCTTATCCATATAACCAAGTTCCCATCTACAAAGGTAAAATATCTTGAAGTTGATCACTTATCTTCAACTACCCCAGCCCAATTAACATATGTATATATTTCTATATTTTGCTTTTTGTATTTTCCTTGGGCATATTTTAGATGCCTAAAAATATTTATGTCTGTATTCATATGTTGCTCATCGGGATCATGCATTGATTGACTATAGTCAGAGTATAGGCGAAATTTGGTCTTGTGTGAGCTTAGTACATTAATTTTTTGATAATTAGTCTTTGGTATCTCTCTCGATCTATCGTTACCTGGCTTGTTTCATTGCATAGGCTCAAGCCCTCTTCTATTGAAGTGTGAGGTGATTGGTAGGTTGACCTACTAGTTTCATGTTGTAGATCTATGCATACTTCATTTGTGCTAGGAAGATTCTTTTTCTTGATCTTGATTGAGATACTTCAATTCCAAGAAAGTATTTTAAGGGCCCTAAATCTTTCATTTCAATTTCCTTCGACAAGTATTCCTATAGGGCTTCCATTTATTCTGGTTTGTTGCTATAATGATCATATCATCCACATGTATGGTGAGAGTAGTGATTTTTTCATGTTGCCCTTTTAAAAGTAAAGCATGGTTCAAATTATTTTATCTATGACCAAAGATTGTTATATGTTTGGTGAATCATTTAAACCAAGTTCTAATCTATTGTTTTAATGCATGTTTTGATTTTTTAACTTGCTCACAATTTGTTTTAGTTTATCTATTATCATGCATCATAGTGGGAGATTCATATAAACTTCTTCAAATAGTTTGACATATAGAAATGCCTTTTTCACATCAAGTTGTTGCAAAGGATGAAAGGACAATAAAATTTTGTAGCTAAGGATATCAAGATTTGGATTGTGTTTATCTTGGCTATAGGAGAAAACATTTCAGTGTAGTCAATTTCATAAATTTGAGTGAATTTTGTTCCATCAGTCTTATCTTAAAATGTTCAATCGTGTAAATCAGCTTTGCATTTCATGGTAAAGATCCATCGATACCCAATAGGGATGGTCAACAAGTTTTCAAGTTTGGTTCTTCAATCGGGATCCATCTCCTCATTAATAGAAGCTTTCCATCTTGAGTCCGCCATGACGTCCTGCACACTATTAAGTATACAACAACAACAACAACAAGCCTTTATTCCACTATGTGGGGTCGGCTACATGAATTCTTTTTCTCTATTGTGTCATGTTAAGAGTCAAATTCTCATCTAAATCTAATAAAGAAATGTCATTTCTAATATTTTCTAACCAAGTCTTTTTAGGTCTACCTCTACCTTTCTTAACATACCTCTACCTTTCTTAACATAAGTCAAATCTAATACATCCACCTTCCTAACTGGGTCATCGGAAGGCCGCCGTTTTATGTGACCAAACCATCTAAGGTGACTCTCTCTAATCTTATCTTCCGCTGGGGCTATTCTAACCTTTTCACGTATATGCTCATTTCGTATCCTGTCTCTAAGAGTAAAGCCACTCATCCACCCTCGAGCATCCTCATCTCTGCAACAATTAACTTAATATTATGCTTCTCTTTTAATGGCCAACATTTTGTATGATAAAACATTGTAGGTCTCACTACCATCTTATAGAATTTGCCCTCCTTTGCCTTCTTCGACTTCCAATTGATGGAACCGACACACTCATACATGGCAGATCGAGCTCCTCATCTCTGTCCATCTTCTTGGTCTCCAGGTGCACAGAACCAACCTTCATCGGTTCGGGTTATTACAACAAATCTTCCATTCTGTGTGAACAGGCAATTGCTGATCTGGCTATTGGATAGACAATGTTTGGTGTTTATATGCTGAGATGGTGGCTCTTATTCATACTGATTTTTGTGGAGCCTCTATCCAGCACCACAAGGCAATTTGATATGGATTTTCTTCTGTAAACAATTGGCATTTTGTTAACCATGCGTAAATTCATGAGAGTTTCCTTCATTGCGACATGATTTCAATTATGTCTACATTAAGGGTACTAAACCTGCAGGTCTTTTAATTTAATCTATTCTAATCCTTCTTACTTTTGGTGTTCGCATGCTATTTCTTATGCTTAGATGAAAACTCGTTGGATGATTTTGTTGTACTATCTTAACATCTTACTTTCTTGATTAGAGACATTATGCGATGAATAATTACCGAACTAACTCTATTCTACATGCTTTTTACCTCCACCTCTTTATAAATTTAAATTGAACAGCTTTATTCATGGCCTTATCTTATGAGTTTAATTGTTATACATGAAGCACAGAAGCTTACTTGTAATGAAGAACATGCCATATATTTGAATCTAATCTATATCATATAGATAGAGTGCTGTTAAATGATAATATCCATGTTACAATTTTGAATGATTAATAAGTAGAAATAATTTTTTTCTTACCATAAGAAGCAGCCATGAGTTATTTGTTTTTTTTCTTAGTATGGGAGGTTCCAACGGCAGCTACTCATAGAACGGATGAATAGAAGATGGAAGCAACTCATATTGCACTCAACGGTATAATCTTTATGCATTTAATTCTGTAACATTCTTTTTCTTGGTCAATCAATGATTTACTTGTTATTAGGATTAATACATTGCAGCCTGTAACACCACTTGAGCCTTGTGCTTGGTTGAACAAGATTCTGATGGAAGTTTGGCCCAACTATATGGAACCAAAATTATCATATAAGTTTTCCTCAATGGTAGAGGTGAGCCTTGTTTCCTATGTTACCGTTTTTCTTCAAGAAATGCATGCTATTGTCATATTGGGAATCAAATTACTTTAATTAAGATTAATTATTTCTTTCCGTAGCTGGCATGGTGGAAGTGCTATCGAAAATGGTACCTGAGATCATAATTGCACTAGCGAATGCACGCATGTTGTTATTCATTTTTGTTTGAGTGTTTTAATCATAGCAGGTTGTAGTAAAATTTGATTCCTTGATTAAGGGTTAGGTTGTTCGTGTATTGTTTTTCTTGGAAAGGGTTTTTGTTTTCCTACAGGTGAACAACAGGCATGTCTCTATTCATTTGGTTTTTAGTGTTTTAATCATAAAATAAAAAATTAATTCCTTGATACGGATTAGCATTTTCCGGTGTTGTTTTCGTTGGAAAAAGATTCCTGTGTTTTGCATTTTATGTGTTCTGCCATTTGGTATTATTGTATGCTAGAATATTTGTGGTGGTAGATTGAGAGATTAATATCTTAGTTTTATACAAAGATTCTACATGCATATAGATAAAAAAAGATTGTAATATGAAGCAATACTATTTTTATAAGGAAAACTCAAAAAAGGAAAAACCACCTGGCCTAGCCTAATTAAAATAATCCATTATGTAATTGAAGTTACAAGGGTCCATTCTTCCGCCTACTTGGAGAATATGAGATTACATAGTTGATAACAGTTGTCTGGTTTATTGTAGAAATCATAGGAGAAGTGATGGATGTTGAAGATGATCACAAAATGTAAATTGGGCAAAAATTGTATGGAGGTTGGGTGACTTTGGTTGAATGACGTTAGACTAGCAATGGTGCTTGGGATACGATGGTTGGAGGATAATAAGTGGGTAACTCAGTGGACAACGATGGTCACATAACGTTAGTTGGACTATAATGGTTGGATGATAGTAAATGGACTATGATGGCCAAATGGTGCTGGTTAGGTGACGATAGTAGTTAGGTGATAGTTGTCAGACGACAATGACAACTAGCGATGATTGAGGGCATTGAATGCCACACACAACTCTAGAGTGCTTCATATCGCTAAGCTCTCTCCAAGCTCAAGTCTGGGTCCCCTTCATTTAGAGAATGTGGATTTTATAACATATTGTGAGTGACATTTTGACAATTTAGCCAAAGTCCTGAAACATTCCATCGGACGGTCTGTATTGCTTCCCTTCATTAGAGACAAATTATTCAACATTTCAGTGTCTTAATGACTATAGAATTGAATGATCTTAGGCTCATTTGATTCATCTCATTGATACGCTTAATTTAACTACAAGCATTGCAAGATTTAGAGACCTTTCAATTATTCAATTTATGTCTTAAAGTTTCTAATCACGTTTTAAGTATTTGATTTAAGCTTATTTGGAGGATTAGATCATTTTTAGTGTTGTTAGATTTGTTTTGTCAAGGCATTCAATTTGATTATAAATTTGTTAAAATCAAAATTTGATTCTCTTAATTTGATTATGAAAGTTTCAAACACTTGTATTGCATCGAGATTCGTGTCTGATCAGCCAAATTTTTGATGATGTATCATTTGTCCTTCTATTTTAGAATGTTGAACCTATGTTGTCCAAAAATATGTTAAATTGGCGTAAAATTGTAGCTTCGAAAAATTATAAAGTGAATCATATTGTGCCCGTTAATGCGGACTACCCTCAAGATTGTGTGCCTAATTAATTTGAAATTAATCAATGAAAGCACCAGTTATTAATTAATCAATTCAAAGAATTTTAAGGGAAGCCGTAAGACCTATTATTTGGGCTACTTCCAAGTAAAGCAGTAAGATCCACTCCTAATTAATGTATTAGGGAACTTCCAATTGAAGTAAAGAATAGGGGTGTCAAAATGGGTATTCAGTTCGATTTCGGGTTGAACCCGGAATTGACCTGGGTCCAAATAGGTCGACCCTAACTCGACCCAGTTTTGTAAACAAGTCGAAACTTCAGACCCAGACCCGACCCGCCGGGTTACTTGGTTGACTTGACTCGACCTGCTAGAATTTTTCGGGTCGACTGTGGAGTGAGGACCCACGAGCGCATGCAAGCAAATGGGATGCGAGCGAGCGAGCTGGGGAGCTGGAGTGGGGGAGCAGGGGCGGCCTACGTGGGCACGGGGGAGCGGGCTTGGTGTGGGCACAAATCTGATCGTCCGGGTGCAGACACATCATTCAAACGTGAATACGGGAGTGGATCTAGGTGCGGACGTGAGCGGATCCGTGTGCAGACGTGAGCGCTGGACTACGGGAGGGTGAACATGGTTTTCGATCTGCGTGGTCGCAAGCGCGGGAGAGCTCTCATGAGTGCCAGAGCAGGAGGTCACTAGTAGGGATCCATGTCAATTCGAGTCACCTTCGGGTTTCTGTGTCACCAAACCCGATTCAATTTTAAAAACATGTTAAAATCTCGAAACCGAACCCGATCCGTATGGCAAACGGGTTGACACGAAATCAAAATTTTTTGGGTCGGATCTGGGTTGGGACAAATATTGACACCCACCCCTAGTAAAGAATCATAGAACCAAAACTTATGGGCTACTTCCAAGTGAAGCAGTAAGACCCACTTTTTACTCAAAAAGTCACTTCCAAGGGAACTCGTAAGATCTACCCAAACATACGAACAACTTCTAAATAAAGTCGTAAGCCCTGACCTAAACTTAAACCTACGGGCAACTTCTAAACGAAGCTGTAAGCCCCGATCTAAATCTTAACCTACGGACAACTCCCAAGCAGAACCATAAGCCCCAATCCAAACCAAACCACCACTAAAACTCACATTTAACCACTTTAGTTTACTCAGGATCCCTGAGAGGAGGCAACACATAGCTATTAGTCAGATTACTTGGACATTATGATCAATGATTGTTAGTGTTGGTAGATTGAAACATACAGTATTCCCGGGATGAAGGAACCATGGAATCTTGATCGGGTTTATCTCCATCCCTCATAACAAAAATTAAAGCAGGTACACTGCTAAAAGTTAATTCATCCTTAATCGAGAGTTCTCTTCTATGCAATAGGAGGGATAATTAACTATGGGGGCTTGCGCTTATAGGAAGTAGGAACCCAAAATTAAATAAACCTCGATATAATTATCGGGTGAAATTTGGTTAATTAAAAAAATTCAATCTACTTCAAGGAAAGTGGAACCTTAAGCCTTGGGAGCGGGGTTCGTGCCGTAAGCACCATCTTTTCCTGAGCGAACATATGTACTATGACAATGCTCTTGTTGTCTATCCTCTAAGTAGTGAACGATTTGAGCTTGAAGTATTTCCATCATATGCATATTATCGTCTTAAGTGAGGTTTGAGTGGCCTTCACCGATTAGATTGTACTACCCTTGATTGATGGATTACTTGTCAATTATTGAAAAGTACTTACAGTATGTTGAGAATATTTTCTATTAATGATATCAAATTGTTACGTGCTAGAATTTTTCGTGTTAGAGTGAGAGATTAATATCTTAGCTCTAGTACTTATACATATAAAACATTGTAATAGGAGACACCGATTTTCCTTACTTGAAAAATTCGAAAAGTAAACCATAGGGTCTATCCCAGTTGAAATAGTTCACTATATAGTTAAAGTTACAAAGGCCCATTCTTTACTTTAATTGGATAAGATGAGATTACACAGTTGAGAACAATTGTTTGGTGCTTGTATATATATTACAAGAGAAGTGATGGAAGGTGGAGACAATTATAAAATGTCAATAGGGTGACAATGTTATTATGGAGGTCGAGTGATTATGGTTAGATGATGGCAGCCGAGTAATGATGCTTATGATACAATGGTTGGATGATAGTAGCTCGATAATGATAGTTGAGCAATGATAGACATGTTATGATAATCAGATAATAATGATTAAGTGGCATTGAATGAACTATAATGGTTGGGCAATGGTGATCAGATGATGATAACAGTCGGGTGACAGCGATTGGATGATGATAGTTGGACGACGATGTGACGATGTCAGATGGACGACGATATCAGCTTGTGGTGATTGAGGGCATCAAATGCCAGAAAATGCTTTATAAGTCCTTAGATCTCTAAGCTCTCTCCAAACTTAAGTCCAGGTACCCCTCATCTAGAGAATAAGGATTTATTTATTGTATTTTGGAAGTGATATTTTGGTAAGTTTAGCTAAAGTCCCAAAACACTCTATCAAAAACAATCCATATAACTTATTTTGATTAAAGGCCACTTATTCAACATTTAAGTGCCTTAATGGCCTTAAAATTAAATGAACTTAGGCTTGTTGGATTCATCTCATGGAGACACTCGATTTGACTATAAGCATAGAAGATTTGAAGACTATTTGATAATTCAATTAATGACTTGACACTTTCACTCATACTTCATGTGCTTAATTTGGGCACATTTGGACTCAGATCGGATTACTTTTGGTCTTGTTAGGTTTATCTCGTCGAGATGCTTAGTTTAATTATAAGTTTGCTGAAATCAGAGTTCAAATGATTTTGAATTCGATTATAAAAGTTTTCAACATGTACTACATTAAGATTTGTGCCCAATCAGTTGAATTTTTTATGATGTATTAGGTATGCTTGTTATAGTGTCTTTGGTTGGACACTGAATTTTGGACTAATATTGTAGGAAAAATTCCTATCACCAAATGGTTTTTTATTTCTTTATTACATTCTTAAAGTGAGAATATGTAGGAGTGAGTTTTTTTGCTGATTTTCAAAGAAAATATACACGGCTTGTTGCTTCCACATAAAAAAATTAGTAATTTGTTTATAAAAATTGAAGCTAGATGCCCAAAGTATGAACTTTTTTACACCATGTAATTGACAAGTTTAATATTAAGTAAAGTATGTACAATTTTCTTTTTCATCATTCATATTCATACATGACTGAATTTTAACCATCTCTCTCTCTAACCTTATTGGTAATTTACATTTAGGTAAATGCTAAACTACTATAGTTGTCGGCAGTGTAAATGCAAAATGTGGCAAATTTCATTTTATGTTAATGATACTTTATCGAATATCATATTACCTTTTCATCATTCATATTTGTACAAGACTGAATTTTAATCATCTATGTTATTAATCAGTCTAGGTACAGGTTAAACCGTGTAGTTGTTGGTGATGCAAGATTAAAAATTAGTAAATTTCATTTACGTCAGTGATCACACTGAATCAAATATTGTTTTTGCAGAGGCGCTTGAAGGATCGAAAGCCAAAACTCATTGTAAGTATCATAGCTAGTTTTTTTACATTAAAATAAGAATATGTTGTAATAGCCCATATTTTGACCCAAATAAATATGGGCTATTACATCCGGATAAGAAAGCCAGAGTACTGACTGAACTGTTTTATTTAGGAAAAGCTAGAGTTACAGGAGTTCTCACTTGGTTCATGCCCTCCAAATTTGGGGCAACATGGGGTGCACTGGGTTACTTTAGGTGAACAGGTTTGCTTTCTTCTTAAGAATTGGGCATTTGACATAATATGATTCTCTTTGTCTTCAGTTGATGCTCACTCTCAATGCAAGATGGTTTAATCATTTTTGATGAATTATTATTATCTTAAAAATGTGTTACTCTCAAAAATGGTGTGAGATATGTGAACGGTTTATGTAATTCGCCCCGTTCTTTTTCTTCCATTGATTGTAGCTTTTTAGATTTCTTTACATGTTAAATTCTTCTTAAGTTCAATATTCTTCATCAAATAATATGTTTGATTTACCTTTAAGTCTTGGCTTGTTACAATACCTTTGAAGGCCAAGTCCAACTCGTTAGTTTCATGAAATTTCTATTTTCTATTTTTCTTCTCAACTTTACTATGGAAATCTTATCCGATGATGCCACTAGTTGACTAAATCAGTTGGGAAAACCCTATTGGTAATGATTTACAGCGTTATGCTATTATTTTTTTCCATTATTTTCTATTTCCTTGATTTCCATATGTTTATAATGGCAGAAGTGTTTTTTACTAAATATTTTGATTAAAAATGGTGTACAGCGTTATACTATTATTTTTGCCTATAATCTATTTGCAGCAGTGTTTTTCTTAGCACTTTTCAAACGATATAAAGCTTTACTTGTTTGCATTGTTTTGCATGATTTATTTCTTTCTAAGTTGTTGCGTACACTATTTGATTTATAATCTACATAGATGAGCAACAAGTTTCAACTTGACGCTCCCTTATTTGTTGACCTGGATTGAAGGCTTTTTTCCAATTCTTTTACAAATGCGGAAATTTTTGCTGTTGATGTCTGTGCATCACTCCCTAATCTTTTGCAATTAATTAAAGGATGGTTGTACTAATCTTAAAATATTTTTTTTCTTTTTTGTCACAATGATCCAAGACCGGCATCAAAGGGCCTGTTTCAATTCTTTTTGAAATGCTGAAATTTTTTCTTTTGATGCTCATGCATCGCTCCCTAATATTTTGCAGTTGAGGGATTGTTATACTAATCCTTATAAACTTTTAATTTATTTGTTCACACTGACCTAAATATTGAACTTCATTTTTTGGCAGAGTGTCATGCGCCTAGATTTTGACTGGGACACTAACGAGATGAGTGTATTGTTGTTGGCAAAATTGGCAAAGCCTCTGATGGGGACAGCTCGGATTGTCATTAATAGTATTCACATCAAGGGAGATGTATGGAAAGTTATTTGCTTATTTTGAATGTTTTGTTCACCTTTGACAAAGTTATTTACTAATTTGAATTCTTTATTTCACTTTTAGTTATATTCTAGTTTCTTACCATGGAACTCAACTTACACATACGTTTAATATTTGCTAAATTACTCCCTCAAATAAATGTAAAAGAAGTGAGAAAGAAAGGTAATGGGAACAACTAAAAATGTTTTCTCTATTAACAATTGTTTAGATACAATAAAATCAACATTAATGTCACACCCCCCCTTTCCGTCAACCTGGAATGTAACAAAGGAGAATCTAGAGAGACATATTTATTACTAACACTCATCCTGAAGTACTTCTATCACGATCAAGTAAGTAGAAAATTGTCTGTCTAGACTATCCCAACACATCAAGTTTTTCAATTGTAACCATTTATCTAAACATTTCATTTGGAAGCATATTCATAACTCATCAATTAAAATTCCAAGCTTATTAAACTTTTAAATAATATTTACATACCAAAAAATCTGACTGTATAGCTTCTTACTATGGCTTCTATACGCAGCCAAAATGTACGTACACAAAAGTACAATCAACCTCCTGCCTAGAGCCCCACTGGCTCCTTCCCCTTTCATGTAGTCAATCACTGTTAATGAGCTTAAACTCAATGAAATACAAAATTATAGTGCAAGAAAATAAGCAACATATAATTTTGCCGTTACTTGTAAATAATATGGAGCTTTCTATAAGAATTATAAGATGTACAAGGAATCAATGCATATTTAACTTTTTACATTTCCTGTTATGTTTACTTTCCAATATTTCAGGCAAATAATATAATGATTATAGGCTTTTGCACAGTTACACCTCTCTTATTTAAGGTTGAGTTTGAATTTTTAGCTTTTAGAAGTGAGATTGCAGCTCTCTCATTCAAGATTGGATCTGAATTTTCAATTTTTAGAAGTGATAGAGTTGAGTACCTTTTGTACTATAACGCCCCAGAATAAAAAAATGTAAGAATTATTATTATTTTTATTTTTGAAATTTCAACACCAGAGCTATCTATTTCCATAATAATAACAACATAAACTAAAATTAATAATCAAAATCACAAAATACAAAAGTATTTATTACTCCAAAAATCATATACACTATTGAGGAATTATCAGTACAATCTTAACATTTCGCTCTAGCCTTGAGTGCAAAAGAATAGCCACAAGACATAAAGAAATAAACTAACAATAAATCTGGATAATCATGATTTGCTCAATCTCACACACACCTGATTTTCTGCCATGATCTGAAATCATTTAAATCACATATAATGAGCTAAAAAGCCCAAGAGATCACAAAATCCTATAACTGACTCAAAGCACAATAAAGAAAGAAATATCATGTCATCAGTCAATTCATAACAGTAACAATCAATATGTTCATAAAGCCTATGCAGAAATAATAAAACTCACATGCAGTAGTAGTGATATTATTAAATAATAAAATGGTATGGTGTAAAAGTTTGTAAAGCTGTACAATGGGGAAACCTGCAAACCAATAAACCAGGTGGATGTCAAATCGATAAGACAGTCGTGATCGTTACAATACAGTAATGCAGTAAATAATCACACGTTCATTATTACTAGTATCTCACAAGCAGTATAATAGCAGTATCGATGAATCAATAGTTGTATCAATGAATCAATAATAGTGTTGTCGGTGACAGTAATAGTAAATAGTGTCCATCTAAGTACCAGTGGAAGTAATAATAAGATAATGCAAGTAAATCCGTATAGTGACTGAATATGTGAACAATAACAATAAAGTTGAGCAGTAACAATGAATCAATAACATACATTTCAGTAGTTACACAAAACAAGTAAGAAGACCTAGTTTAAATGATGTTTTTTCAGTAGTTAGTCATTAGTAATTGTTGGCTTATTATATAGTGTCGTCACTCATTTGACCGTCAGCACAGTAATAACTCATAACTCTCAAACAGTGAATTGTAAAGGATAACATCAAACCATAATATTTAAAGGAAAGCCCGTCAACCCACCATCTTGTACATGTCATTAATAGTCTTCAGCCAATGTTAGTGAAACCAACTTTTACTTTGACTGGTTATATTATTATCATATTAATATAACAGTAATAGCAACTAACTATTACCCAATCATATACCCATTTTCATTCTCATTGCATATATTATTAATATGCTTAAATAAAAATACTCAATTTTTTATTGAATCAAAATCATACAAAATACAATAACTTCTATTTTACTAGTTAAAAATTAGAAATTAACTAGTGAAAATGTTCGTAATGCTCGGTACTATAATATACAAAAAGTTGTACGGTAGAAGTTCATTAAAACCAGGAAAAATATAATAAAATCAGTTCTAAGGAGAATCAAACAGTCAAACTCAAAATTTTTTAAAACAGAGGAAGGAAATAAGTCACTTACCTCGATTGGAACAATTTCTATAAAATCAGTGAAGTGATCCGGTGGGTAAAATCGGATTCTCCTTCTCTCTCCTCCTTTCTCTTCCCCCTCTACCGTTTTCTACTAAGACAAGTTGGCGGTGAGTGAGGGGGAGGACGGGTGAGTAGAGAAAATTATATGTAAAAATGATTTTAGTGGCCTAGCGTCGTAGCCTTGCATGTAAAAACTAAAAGTATTGTAGAACAGAGGCTTCAATGCCGTAGCAGCCATTCTGGGTGCCATTGTACTTTAGACCTCCGCGCATCGACGCTCAAAGGTGCAGTACCATTGCGCTATAGTTCAAACAATAATTCTTCTCTTTTTTTGACACATTTAAAAAATTTGAGTTGTTACATGTACGGTCTTAAGGATTTCCTCGTCAGATCTTTCACCTTTAATTGTGTAGGCCTATTCGCCATAATATGATTTTTATTATTTACCTTTCATTAGCCTTCATATTTTCATAACATACATCAGTATATACAACAAACATCTGTATGTCCAGTAAACATCTGTATATTATGTAAACTAACTAACAAATATTGAAATCAAGTGTACCGGTAAATAATCAACGTACTTAATATGAAAAAATTTGCTTCCACAATTAGATAAATGTGCTGCCACAATTATATAAAAATGTTGTTTTTTCCTATACCATAGATTGAGTATATCTCATTATTCTCTTTTCCACCGATAAATAACGTCAATTGCCCTCCTCATTCAACTAAAAAATTTCCTTTCCCTCTCCCAAATCTCCTTGCTCTCTTCTTCTCTTCATTTCTTTCTTTTCCTTACTGATTTCAACAAACATTGCAGCAGCCCTTACCTAATCTCAGCAACACTGCAGCAGCCCTTACCTAATTAAGTAAACAACTACAATCCTTACCTGATTTTCTTTACCTTATTGTTTTCTGAATTTTCCCTCAGCAGTTCTCCAGCAGCCCGCAGTAGCACACTCCAGCTTTCCCGTGCCCTTCCTCGCAGCCTACTTTGAATTCCAGTGAGTATCGGACAGGTGGGGGAAAAGAAGGAATGGCTAATGCTTAAACTTAACTATATTATATATTAAGGCTCCACCTCCACTAAGCTTTCAGTCATTCCTATCAGTGAAATCAGTGATATAACATTAATTAATAATCTGTTATTGTAATTTAATTTAATTAATTTTTAATGAACTATTAATTAATTAAGCTATTAAACAAATTTATATGTATACACTTATATTTATCAAAATGTTCAAAATAAAAGATAGAATTTAACGAAAATAAGTTTGACATTTTATGGAGGAAATAAAATGAGAGAAATTTTGAGGAAAATTTCATGATTATACTTTTTGAAAGTTTTGAGTAGTATAATTAAGTACTCTTCTGAAGCTGAATGAAATGGGAACAAGATGTTTCCAAACCTAACCATTAGTAGCTATCATTGTGATCGTAGCATTTTTTTGTTATTTGTGTTGCATACCGGAAAGAATTCCTATGAATTGAGGAAAAATGTGTTATTTACAGTCATCTTAGCTATATAATTTTCATTACACATGAAACAAAGTAGACAAAGATCCTTTGCTCGGAAAATCTAGTGAGAAAAATTATAGAGCCTAGGCTAAGTTAGAAATTTCATTGCTAGTAAATTTTGAGTGCAAATTCTAGCCTCCCTCTCTATGATTCCTGGGGCACTAGTACAACGTGTTGAAGGATCTAGTCTCTTTCTTATCTTTTTGAGGTATGTCGTACTTGAAGCATATTAAATTTGTGATGTTGGTGACAACAACTTTGGGCCCCAGTTGATGATGAGAATGGGCAGCTTGGACATGATAGGATAGGCATTGCTCAATATTGATGTAATAGCTTGCAGAGCATAGGCCTATCTACTTAGCACCTGGAAGATCTAGTTTGGAGATTGGTACTTATTAGCTTGCCCTATAGACAGTGTAGCCCATGTTTTCTTTCTTCTTTTGTAACTTGGATCGTTATTGGGATGCAGACCTCGTCAACTTCACTTTTTTTACATGGAGGATTATGCTGTAGCAAATCCTATATTTTCTCGATAGTTGCATCATCTTTTGTTATTTATAGAAATTTGGGTAGGTGATTTCAATTATATGTAAGGTGTGAAAAGGTTTGAAAATCCTTAAAATATTTTTGACTTAATTTGTTTGATATTCTTTGGTATTTTTTAGGGATGTTTTTTTAATTCTTTTATTCTTTATTTTTTCTTTCTCTTTTTTTGTTCTTCCTTTTTTAAATATCTCAAAATATTGTGAGCATAGCTCATTCTCTCGCTTTGCTTGAGCATGTGTATGCAGCGCAACAAGTAGTTGTTCAAATCAGCGCATCAGTTTGCACAATTTTTAAAGATATCTCATGCTTTTTTAAGAGTCGTGTAATTTATGTTAGATTCCCTTAAAAAACAAGGTATTCAGACTTAACATTTAGCACCATAGTTTTTATTGAAATACCCGTGAGAGTTTGATTGTTTTAATAGTTTGGCATGCTTTTTGTTGGAGAAAAGGACCAAAATGGTCCCTCAACTCTAT